ACACTGTCTCCATATTTCCTATTCATCCATGGTATGGGTCAACAAGCCTTTACTTCCCATTGGTCACCTTCCCTGAGTTCTAAGCACCTCCTACTAATGAGTCTTCAAGTTTGTGCCTTTAGGAGGGGGTTATTGAGATCTTCTATGGCATTGGGTTTATCAGGATTTCTAAGAAGTGCCTTTTATACTCTATCTCCTTTCTCAATTTACTATTCCAGCAGCTTCCATCTCAAGGCTCACAGGTAAAGTACATGTGTAGAGGGCTAAGATGGAGTTAGCTTCAGCTAGTTATGTCCTATTGGAAAGGACATTCCCAGACCCAGGACACTGGCTGCGTGAGAACTGAGGATGCTGCATGGGGGAAATGTCTCCCTGTTTGTTGCTTTTCTGGGTGATTTGAACAGAGCACCTGACACTTAACACACCTGGAGTTCTTGTGCCTGTGGTGACTTTGGATCCAAAAACTCTTGCAGAGTCATATTTGTGTTTTCTCATTGGCAATCAATATGGCTCCTTTGTGGCCAGTTGGGGTCTTGTGTGCTGCCTGCATGGACACTCTGGTGGGGGAAGAATCCAAGAGCAGAGTCTGCACTTGCAATGGGAATGGCAAGCCTGCCACTTGGGAGAAGTAAGGGGAGTGTGGATGAACACAACATAGACCAGTATGTTTCTATGCAGAGTCATCACTTTTCTCCTTGTGGAAATACACAAGCATTTGGTTCAAATAGGGGTACTTTCCTCTGTCTTATTTAATAAACTTTTAATTTTTCTGATTTTTTTGTGCTGAAAAATCATATCCAATTATTCATATAAGGTTAAATATTTCTTAGACTCCTAAAGATATAATTTCATGCTTAAAAAAGAATATTACTTTTCTGGAGTTTTGGGGTTGATTTTCTGATTTAATTCAATTGATTCCTAACATATTGGTTGTTCTGGAACACTTGGAAACTCTTGATTACATGATAGCTTTCAAAACTAAGTTAAGGGATGGGGCTGCTGAGATGGCTCAGTGGTTAAGAGCACTGGTTGCTCTGTCAGAGGACCCAGGTTCAATTCCTCCCATCCACACAGCAGCTTACGATCATCTGTAACTCCAGTTACAGAGGATCAACGCCCTCTTCCGGCCTCCACAGGCACCGAACATATACGTGGCTCACAGCACACATTCAGGAAAAAATCCATATGCAGACAGAACACAAAAATTATTTTTAAAATTTGAGTTATAAATAAACTGAGATTTTAAGACATTAAATTAGAAACCACACCATATATGAAAGAATAAATATTGTTTCACTTGTATAAGCACCCAGGATGATAAGATTCATAGAGACACATAATGAATTAGTATATTATGAGTGACTGAGATGAGAGAGACATGTAGTGTTACATCATAGATTTGGATTGTAATTATGAAAAACATCTGCAGATAGACACTAGTGATATATATGAATGTACTTCATAGCATGAAGCTGAAAAATATTCACTATAGTAAATTTTATGTCACACATATTAAAATATAGGTTCTTCATTCATCTAGTTGTAGACTGGTTCTGTACACACAGGCACGGCATAAATGGCTGTATAACCAGCACAGCTTTGGGATTGACCTGACTGGGGGCCATTACCGGAAATGAACAAAGGACAGAGATGCATCTTGAAAAGCTTGGATCAGGTGGGCCATGCACTCTAATGGAGACATACCAGCAACAGAAACTTAGTGTTGATTATATATGGCATGAAGGAGGAGGCAGGTAAGTTAATCTAGGTAGGAGGTCTCTGTAGGGGAGCAGTCTCAGGCTACAGTCCTCTGGATGAGGAAGCCGTGGTTGGTAGTTTCTGTACACACTGGTTTTAGCTAAAGGTCAACCATTCATCATCATCCATACTTGGGCCAAGTGAAAGCCTTGTCGTTCCCATGGGGCTGAGGCACCGGCACCCCTGACATGGTCTTGCACATGTCAACAGTACGCGTTCACCCAGGACTTCATTCACTCCACACAGGTGCTGAGCTAGGGGAGATAAATTTGGATGGATTTCTGTAGTCCCATGATATTCATACACTTTAGGTTTGTGGCCTATCCTTAAGATAATTTATCTAGTTATATTTTCCAGGTTGCCAAATTATCTTCTTGCATAGAATTAAGCAAAACTCTTAAATTTCCTTTTCTGTTCCCTAAGCATATTACTTCACAACTTCTGAGCCAGAGTTTGCTACCCTTGTTAATAATAAAATGTTTTCAAAAGGAAAATGTGATATATTTTTAAAAATTATCCAGGAAGAGTTTTACTGCCATTCTTCAGTATTCAATATGTATGACTTATTCTTGACTTGTTTTTCTATTCTTTCTTTTTTTTCAGATTTTTTTATTTGAATTAGAAACAAGATTGTTTTACATGACAATCCCAATTCCCTTCTCCCTCCCTTCCTCCCCTACCACTCCCCAAACTGAAACCCTACCTATCACATAGCCTTTCTTCTATTCTTCCCTGACTCAACCTTTCTGCTCCCTCATGTCCTCTGCATCCTTCCTCTTCTCCCCTTCTCATTCTTGTAGCTCCCTCCCCCTCTTCCCTTGCTCTCAATTTGCTCAGGAGATCTTGTCCCTTTCCCCTTCTCCAGGGGACCATGTATGTCTCTCTTAGGGTCCTCCTTGTTTACTCGCTTCTCTGGCAGTGTGGATTGTAGGCTGGTAATCCTTTACTCTATGACTAAAATCCGCATATGAGTGAGTACATACCATGTTGTCTTTTTGTGATTGGGTTACCTTGCTCAGGATGATTTCTTCGAGTTCCATCCATTGCAAATTTCAAGATTCCATTGTTTGTTTGTTTGTTTGTTTGTTTTTTTCCGATGAGTAGTACTTCATTGCGTAAATGTACCACATTTTCTCTATCCATTCTTTGGTTGAGGGGCATCTAGGCTGTTTCCAGTTTCTGGCTATTACAAATAGTGCTGCTATGAACATCATTGAACAGATGTCCTTGTTGTATGAATGTGTTCTTTTGGGTATATGCCTAAGACTGGAATTGCTAAATCTTGTGATAGACTCATTCCCATTTTCCTGAGGAGTCACCATACTGATTTCCCAACCTGTTTTTCTATTCTTTCAATTGCTCTTTTCTCTTTTCATTTTTTCCAGTATATTGAATGTTTCAATTTAAACTTTCATTTCAATGAGTTCTTTTCTGGAATGTATAGCATAATTACATGGAATTTGTGACCTTCAACTTCCTGATTTTTGTTGACACATTTTATCTCTAAGTTTTATCTGCATTTTTAAAAAGAAATTTACTCTTAATTCAGAAATATGGTTAAAGTTCTTAGACGCTTTCCTTATTACCTCCAATTGAAGCATTTCCTGGATTTTTTCCTGGGAGGTGGGCAGGGTTGAGTGGGCACAGTAAGTGATTTTATAATAGAATCATTTCAGGATGACTCACTGGTCCCCCAAGGGAAACAGTTACTTCCCTGAGACAGAGACCAGCTCAGTAAGAGATCAGAGTGGCTCAGTGTAAAACCACCTAACTCACATGTTTTATCTTACATTTATTTTATTCATGTTCTTTTCATAAGGACCTAGTTTGGATGTTTGTTTGCCTCTTCCATACAGCACTACCCAGAGTGTTGGGTGGGATGGTTGGAAATATGTTTTTAAGTAGACTTCCTCCCAGAACTACTTCCGTATGGCTGTGAGTGTAAAGGGGAACACTGCAGAGATGTTCTCTTCTTCCAAGGAGAGTGTCGTCCTTTTGAGTGTGTGTCTGAGTCACCAATGCCATAATGAGCCCTTTCTATTGTTCTCACGGTTGTGTAAAGCTTTGTTTCTAAACCAGAAGGCAAGCCTTCCATCTTGTCTCAGAATACCAATGACATGACCAGCAGCAATAAGTATTCACCACAGCCCATTGCTAGTGCAGCTGTATAACACTCCCATCAGAGATCTCTGTTAAAATACTGGGTTTTAGTTTTTGTTGGATTCCATGGCATACACAGTAAGGAAACCAACACTCTTTGTTGTTTTTTTTCAAAAGTGATTCCTATTGGCATTCAGTTGCTGTAATGCTTCTCCCTTTAAAGTGTCTCTGCACGTCATCTGGCTTTCCAGATACACCCCCAAGCTCATTCTCCTGCACACACACACACACACACACACACACACACACTACTTGAAAATGCTACAGCTAACAAACCATCACAACCATGAGGGTCTTGTCTTACCAGTGTTTCCAGAAGAAACTAATCATAAAAGCAAGCACCCATGTTTCTCTTAGATAAACATAGACATTGGCACGTCAGTGCTGACAGTTATATAGCTCAGAGCTACTTTTGGATGTTGATATGCCCAGATTATTTTTTCCCAGAGCTGAGGTTTGAATCAAGAGCTTCAAACATGCTGGGCCAGTGGTGTGCCACACAGCTACACCTTCAACCTCTCCATTTATTCTTCAAAATTTCTATTTGGGGTTTCCTTGTGTTCAGTTCTCTCCTACGTTGCTTTACACACGGGAATGCTCCTTTGCATGTAAATGAGAAGCTATGTCAAACTCAATGTAAAACAAGCAGCTTCATGAGCTTCTGTGGGACAGCAAGCTACACAATGCCATGTGGAAAGAGCACTACCGCACTGTGACTGGGGAAACTTGATGAGGCCCTGGCTACTTTCAGAGCATGATAAAAAAAAAAAAAAAAAAGAAGTCCCTGCTCCACTCTACTCTGGATTTTCTTTGAAAATGCAAAGAGTATGTGATAAACTCAGGAAGGTTGATAAATATTTGCTGAGGCTTATGACAGAAAAACATTGCGTCCCTGCACTAAATCCCTGGGAACATTACCAATGTCCCCAACTGCGCATAGGGGAGGAAGTTGACATTTAGAGATAATAAAAAGGGGGGGCAGTGTCTTTTGTAGCTTCAGCCACATCAATGGTACACCCAGCTAAAAAACATATAAATGAGCAACTCTGCTCAGTGCTCAGTGAAGGCCCCTTCTTGACAAGATGAAGTCCCCAGTCTTCATCCTTTCTCTGCTCCTCATTCTGGAAAGACAGGCATCTGTGGTCGGATTCTATGGTGAGTATACAGATGGTGGCTACAGGGCAAGTCACTCAGCCGGGGTGTCCTTAAGGGTGCTCTGGGAGTGAGCAGATCCTTCGAAAGGGTGGTCTTTTTGATGAGACTCAATTCTTCTCTACCCAAATCCAAATCCCTTGTGGGAACATCAGCAGTTTTATGAGGAAAATTTTGGAAGGAGCGATGCAGATTATATAACAAACGTTCTTATGAATTACTAGGGGAAACAAAAGGCGGCAGCTTCACCAAAGGCGGCAGCTTCACCAAAGGCGGCAGCTTCACCAAAGGTGGCAGTTTCACCAGCGGCGGCAGCTTCACCAAAGGCGGCAGTTTCACCAAAGGCGGCAGCTTCACCAAAGGCGGCTTCACGAGTAGTTCGTCAGAATTTATGAAAGGTCATGTCAATTACGGGCTCAAAGGAGCAAGTGAAGATGCAGCCGAAGAAAGTGTTTTCTTGCAGACAAAGCATCAAGCGTATGACCAGGGTAATGGCATGACACACACACGTCTTTCACAAGAACATACAGGTGTAAAGGGGGCTTCACTTTGTCGTATAGGACAAATGTCCCAACTAAAATCCCAAGAATCCCAAGTAAAATCCTTTGGACAAGTGAAATCTCATGAATCGCAATTGAAATCATCGTATGGCCAACTAAAATCCGAAAATGCACAAGTAAAATCCTTTGGACAAGTGAAATCCTATGGACAAGTGAAATCCCATGAATCGCAACTGAAATCATCATATGGTCAACTAAAATCCCAAAGTGCCCAACTAAAATCCTATGGCCAGCTAAAATCCCAAGATGCCCAACTAAAATCCTTTGGCCAACAAAAATCCTATGGTGAAGAAGCTCAACTGAAATCCTATGGCCAACTAAAATTCCAAGATGCCCAACTAAAATCCTATGGCCAGCTAAAATCCCAAGATGCCCAACTAAAATCCTATGGTCAGCTAAAATCCCAAGAAGCCCAACTAAAATCCTATGGTCAGCTAAAATCCCAAGACGCCCAATTAAAATCCTTTGGTCAGCTAAAATCCCAAGATGCCCAACTAAAATCCTTTGGCCAACAAAAATCCCTAAAAGGTTTCTCTCAACAAACTCAGCATAAAGGATTTGCTATGAATGAAGAACTATCACAAGTGCGCAAACAATATGATGAAGATGATGACCAGTCTGTACAACAAAAGTCTAGCCAACAGGTAAAAACAGGGGAAGACTTACAATTTGGACAACAACGCCAATTTGGACAAGAACACTCACAATCCTATAAAGGATATCTTGAACAATACAAAAAGAAATCACAAGACCACTATCAACAAAGAAAAGATTTTAATCAAGATGGCTATTTTACAAAGGGAGGGGCAGACCTATATCAAGTTCAGCTTAAAGGATAATATAGTCATCGACCAACTAAAGACCAAGATCGTTATCAAGGTATGTTTCTACCACATAGGAGACATATTTATCCCAATGTTTACGTGTAGTATATAAGGAAGCCCTGGGTTCATTATGGGATTGATACCAATTTGTTCTCATCAATAGAAGCGTTCTGTTACAAACTTTTAGAAATATGCTGAGCAACCCTGGTAAAATGAGCACTAGGCATGATAGAGGCAGAGCAAGCTACCCAGTTAACAACAGATCCTGAACTCCTAAACGAAGGGAGTATTTTTCAATGATTTTTCAAACATAGATAGAGTTTATATTATTAAGTATGTACCACATATGCAATCATATTTAACATTTTGATGAAATCTAACTTTTTCTACACTTTGACTTGCTTATATTGGTATAAGGTATTATTGCAGATGATCTTTCTCCACACCAGTGAGTGTTCCTGAGTCCCTGTTACCTTCATTTTCTATCAGGAATCAGGGGGCTTAGGATTTCCATCAAATGGAAGACATGATTACAAAGATATCTGTTTGGGGCAGACACTATCTTCAATTGTGTGCCCAATGATGAGCCTGTCCCAGGCTTATGACCATGTTAGTGGCCCTGGTTAAGCTCAGCTGGCCATAAAACAAAACAAAAAGACGTGATTGTGAGAAGGGGACTCATAGGGAGGAGTAGGGGTAATAGGGATGAGTGGGAGATACAAGGGTGGGATTGGCAGTGATTAGACTGCACTACATATGTGTATGAGATTCTCAAAGAATGAAGTTAGTAAAAGGTCATTTTGTTCAAAAGTGAACACAAGGCAGTAAGTGTCCAGGTTACTGCTGGACATTGGCAACATTGGAGGAGATAATGTTCACTGCTTTGTTTGCAATGAGAGTGCATTAAGAAAGGGAGAGCACCAAACACCAGGGACACACTTGGGGTCCATTGGAGTCATTAGTGACTGAGCACCCTAATCTGTAGAAGCTGGCTCTAGTAGACTTGAAAGAGGCAGACAGTGGTTCATCTACGCCTCAACTTCTGACTGCCCTCATTTACCCATTCTCCTCCTAGGACTCACCTCACCAGAGTCAAGTCTCTGCTACCTTCCAGATGCCTCCTGCAATGGGGTCCCAGATCTCTGGTTCATGGACAACCCTCTACTCACATTCGCTTTTCTGTAGGACTTCTAACCCCGGAGCTTCCTCAAATGCTTGCTTACCAATAAAAATATAACTTTCTGCATCACTTGCTTTTGTTTACTGAGATCTGATTCCTACCACTGTCTGGGTTTGGGAACACTCCTAATGGGCAGTTCCAAAAGGACGAGACATCTGTGTAGTATTGGAGCAAAATCCACATTGGTAGATGTCTGGGTTACAAAAATAAAGGTGCTAGAACTGTGGCAGTCATCCTGTGAGCCACCTGAAGTCAACTTTACCATCCCCTACAACTCTTTTTCTAGTGGGTCTTCAGAAACTGACTGGCAGAATTAAGAGTTCACTGGCCCAAGGGGGTTGGTTTCCAGTTCCAGCTCTGCCATAGAAACACAGATTTTCAGGCTGGAGATGGCTCAGCCATTAAGGGCTAGGCTGGCAACTAAAAATATTTTTAAAAATATCAATTTTCAATTAAATTTGTTTTCTCTCTCAGCATCAGCCCACCATTTACATATGGGAAAGTTTCCTTTAACTCTTTTTAACTTCATGAAATTAAGTAAGGCTTTGACACTTATATAGTCCCACAGCCAGGAACTGAACTGTGAGGTTACTTACTAATATATTTGGTACTTATGGGGAAAGTAGAAGGACTCTGAGCATGTGCAGGTCACAGGGACACTTTCACTTTATTCTGGAAGTTTAGTCCTTCATTAGGTACAGAGAGGGGGGGAGATTCTTCTTTGCCACAGAGTCAAAGGGCTTGGTTACCATCTCTGGATAGAAACACAGAATTCTTCGGAAGTCTGAAAGAAGAATGAATACAGAGAGTTAGCATGTAACAAGGGACCAATGCCTCACTCAGACACCATAGGCTATCAAATAAAAAACCTCCTGCCTGGTATGGGTTACCTCTTTTTGAGTTGTGGCCCCTTGATCCCACCCTCAAAATTACAAACCACTGCCATTGATTCTAGTTACCCTTACCATAAAGTTATGGCAAGACTCCACCACTGAAGACACCACATACCTGAGTCACAGGACACAGAGAAATGAAGCTGGCACTGACCTGGAAGCTTCATCCTACTGGCTAGCTTTCACAATGCTGAAAGATGCTACACATGCTTACTAGAGAGAAAAAGTCATCAACACTGTTACCCAGCTGTGAACCCTATGAACTAGAATAACAAAATTGGCCTGCTAAGATAAGCCCACTAGTGAAATAGTGACCAAGTCCCACTCCACAAGATGGAACCAATGCCTGGTACTATCAACTGTGTCCAAAAGCTGTAGAACATACATACTTGTCCTGCATTCATTCCATAAATTTATTCTGAAAGTACATTACTTACATATTTTCACAATCTGTAAAAGGAAAATAATTTTGTCCAGAATCAACCAAACCATAACTACCATAGACTATTTAAGTGATAATAAATAATATATTTAGTTTCAAGAGTAGGATGTTAAAAGATCAATAATTTAGGAGTAAAAAATAAAATTTTCACATGTGAGAAGAACAGACACTAGCTGGAGCTGGGGCTGAGACTAACTCAGCTGATAAAATGCTTACTAAGCATGAAAGAGGCCCAAAGTTCAATTCGCAGCCTGTTATATACACCTGCAATACCAGAATTCAGGAAGTAGGGGCAAGCTGACCAGAAGCTCAGAATCACCCTCGCCTCAACTATTAGCAAATTCTAGGCCAACCTCAGTGCATTAGTCAGGGTTCTCTATCAGAACTGATAGGACGAATATGGTGAGAGAAGAGAGGAGGAGGAGAAGGAGAAGGAGAGAGGGAGAGAGGGAGGGAGAGGGAGAGGGAGGGAAGAGAGACAGAGAGAGAGAGGGAGAGAGAGGGAGAGACAGAGAGAGAGAGAGAGAGAGGGAGAGAGAGGGAGAGACAGAGAGAGAGAGAGAGAGGAAGAGGGAGAGGGAGAGGGAGGGAAGAGAGACAGAGAGACAGAGAGAGAAGAGGAGGGAGGGAGAGGGAGAGGGAGGGAAGAGAGACAGAGAGACAGAGAGAGAGAGAGAGGGAGGGAGAGACAGAGACAGAGATAGGGAGAGGAAGAGAGGGAGAGGGAGAGAGGGGGAGAGGGAGAGAGAGAGGGAGAGGGAGAGAGGGAGAGGGAGAGACAGAGAGAGAGAGAAGGAGAGAGGAAGAGGGAGAGAGAGGGAGAGGGAGAGGGAGAGAGAGAGAGAGGGAGAGGGAGAGAGAGGGAGAGGGAGAGGGAGAGAGAGAGAGAGGGAGAGGGAGAGACAGAGGGAGAGGGAATCTTCCAGGCTGTGGTCTAAGTAGTCTAACAATGGCTATCTCCTGGTATGGTACCGGATGGAATCCAAGAGGATTACTAACGAGCTGCTGGTCTTCAGTCTATGTTGAAATCCCAAAGAAGTGGCTTCTAATACTGGTGAAGGAGTGCCTCAGAGACTGGATAGATGGACTTGCCAGCACGAGTGAGGGCAAGCAAGCAAAAAGCAAAAGCTTCCTTCTTCCACACCAGGTGGTATGGCCCAGATTTAGAGTGAGTCTATCTACAACACATGATCCAATCAAGAAAAGGCATGCCTAGCTGCTTGAGTTTTAGTTGATTCTATCAGTCAAGTTTGACAACCAAGATTAGCCATCACACTCAGAAACAGAAAGGTGTGTGTGTGTGTGTGTGTGTGTGTGTGTGTGTGTGTGTGTGTATACACATATGCGTGTGTTATCAGAAGCCAAGGTTAGATTATTACAGTCTGAATTGGCAGTGCAGTCCCCCCACAAATATATGTTTAATGTTATTTGCCAGTGATGATATTTGTAAATAAAAGTCTTTAGAAAGAAAGAGCCTAAAGCTGGGTGGGTAGGGATTTGGGAAGGGTCTGGGAAGAATTGGGGGAGGGAAAAACAATCAAAATACATTGAATTTTAAACTAACTATAAATAAATAAATAAATAAATAAATATAACCATCAGAGGGAAAGTCAAACAGGACTAACTTTATCTTCTGTGCTATTGAATGTGTCCCTTTTTTTTTTTTTTTTTTTTTTTTTTTTTTTTTTGCAGTTGGGCCTTACTATGCTGCCTAGGCCAGCCTTGAACTTGTGATGCTCCTGTCCCAACCTCATTGGTGCCTGGGATGACAGGGATGGGCAACCAAACCCAACTGCTGGTGTCCTTTTGAAAAGGATTCCCACTTTCTTTTTAAACTCACAGAAACAGTTGATGTAACCTAGTGAGAGCATGGAGACCCTAGTCATAAAGCTGGGGAAACAGCATTGGACTGAACCAAGCCCTCTGAATATGGGCGCCAATTAGGAGGCCAAGACAGTCTATGGGACCTCTAACAGTGGAGCCAGTCTTTAACCCTAGAGCACAAATGGACTTTGGGAGCCCATTCCCTGTGGGGGGAGACTATTGCAGCCCAGATACAGCAAGGAGGGCCTAGGCACTCCCCCAAATGACATGACAGACTTTGAAGGTCCCTGGTGCAGGGCCTCACTATCCCTGGGGAGGAGTTGGGAGGTGGGTTGGTGAGGAACATGGGAGGATGGGAGGGCGAGGGAATGGGGGATGGATATGTGAATATGAGTAGTAATTAAAGAATTTAGAAAAAAAGAAAAGGATTCCCTGAGAGCTGAGGTGCCTTATACGCATGTGGACCTGAGTTCAGTCCCCAGCACCCATGTAAAACTATCACACATGGTGGCGTTTACTTGCAAGCCTAGTGCTGTGGAGGCTAAGGCAGACAGGTCCCTGGAGGGCCTAGTTGGTAAGCTTCAGGTAGTGAAAAAGCCTGTCTCAAAGGGAGCAGATGGTCCTTATGAATAACAGCTGGGGTTGTCCCCTGGCTTTCACATTCATGCACAAGCAG